TCTACTCTTCTGTCTGCTGTGTCTCTGCCAACTCACAATGCTTTGTACTTCCCAGTCCAGGTCTCTTAATGATAGACCCAGTCTGCCTCAGAGGTGGATGAGCAGTGTGTGGATCGCCTACAGTGGCTGAGCAGCCTCCCGTGGTCCAGTGGATCTTATTCTTACCGTTGTATCCTTTAGTCTGATGTGCAGTAATTGCTCAATAAATATCTGTTACATTATGAACAATGAGATCTCCCTCATTTCTTTCTCTCCTTGTGTATCATAAGAATATTTTTGCTTCATCTGTATTTTTACTTTACATGTGAGCTTACAAACTTCTTTTTTTTTTTTTATTCATTCTTACATTTCTGGGACTCACAGATGGTGGATAGCAAAAGGTATATGTAAACCATGACAGGAAGCACCCAAAATGTAGCTTGTTCACTACACACTTGGTGCTTTGAAAACCTCTGCAAGGGCTAAGAAGACTGAGCCCCATTCTTTTCAGTCCTTATTTTCCGCTTCAGAAACCAGACACAGGAAACATCTGACCATAATAAAAGATTCCAGTAAATTCTAGATTTCCTCATTGAACAGTCATGTGCAGCAAGGCTCTGCTGTACTCTGGTCTGGGATTCTGTTCTGTCACTTGTGCAACACACCACATGGCTGCCTCTGGCTGGGGCGCCAGAACAGCTGGAGCCCGGCATGCGTGAAGTAAAAATGACTTTGATTGTTAGGTGGAAAGGGAGGAGCCTGCATATTCTTACTCTGTGTCTTGCAAAGCAAACTTCTCATCTGGTTGAATACTGTTTTCCCATTAGCTGTCAGGGTGGTTTATGACTAAAATAATCTTAAATCCTTTAGAATAAGCCCAAATAATGAATAGCCAAACTGTTACTGAAGTCTGGGCCTGTGATGCTCAGAGCAAAATTTCATCTCAACTTTCACAAAACATGTCACTAACATCCTCTAGAAATCTGTACTGTTTTTATTGCCTTATTCAGGACCCAAGCTTTTAGGAGCATTGGGCTATCATTGGAAAGAACTTTTATAGAGCCTTTTGACGTTTTCTTTGCAGTAAGACTGTCACCTGTCTGGTGCTTACCTCCTGAACACCCTTATCTCCCTTTATCTTAAATGCCTGCTAACTTGTCTGTCTTCCTTGGCTGGAAGGCAAAGACTGTCTCTTTTTGAGCTCCCTACCTCTGTACCAGACACAGAGGCTGGCACATGATGATATTTCTGGAAAGGAAGAAAGCAGAAAAGAAGAAGGGGCAAAGCCCGGTCTGTTGAGGGATTGATACAGTTGGTGTGAAACTTAAAGGTGATCTCAGTAACTGAAGAGAAAAGCTGGGCAGTCTCTGCCCTTGCAGTGATTAATGAAGAGTGAGAACTTCCATTCTTTGGCATCACTATGTAGTGACTGAAATGCTAAAATCCTAGATCTGCACTAGAAAGTTCTTTTCTAACTTCCATTTTTTTTCCCCCTGCCTCAGGCTTCTGAATAGCTGGGACTAAAAGGTGTGTAGCACCATACCTGACTTTTAACTTTCTTTTCTTCTCATGATATAAATAATACATATTTACTATAAAAGTCTGTAGAATTGTGTAAAATAAACATCACCTGTAATCCTACCACCCAGAGACAACCACTGTTCACATTTAGTCTTTTTAGTCTTAGGTCAGTTTTCAGTTAATTTTCAGTTATTTCTCTTTACATCTACATTGAATAGCTGAAAAAAGATTAAATGAGGGCTGCTTGTGAGTGCAGAGAAGGGAAGTTACAGTTGGAATACTTCCTACCAACCGCAGTACAAATCTGAGATACAGGTTTTGGATGCTCCTCTGGCAGGTTAGCTCTGTGGAGATCTGTTCCCTCACCTGGGACTTTCTTGCCCTGTGCTGCTGCTCTGTGTGTGCACGTTTATCTCCCCTTGAACCCATGCAGCTTCATAGAACAAGGGCAGTTCAGGCTCAAGATTGACCGAAGCCAAGAGTCAGTCCCAGGCTAGATTTCCCCTTACTTGTGAAATGTCACTCAGACAACATCATTTTTGAAAGAGAGCAAAGATACTTAGCAATTTCTCCTTAGTTTAATAAACATATTGACTACTTTCCATGTGGTCCCTGAATGAGGCACCAAAGCCTCAAAGCGAAGCGACAGTCCTAGTCCTCAGGAAGCTTGCAGCTCAGTGAGAGAGAAAGAGTGTCCAGAAGGGGCCTCATATCATGCAGGGTTGTGTAGGACATCGCAGAAGTGCAGCAGTGGCTGAAGGGTGGGAGCAGCTTTGATCAGAGAAGGTATCCAGAAGAGGGGATGATTGAGTTGTATCTTAATGGCAAAGTTGGAGAGTTTTTATGCAAGCTGGAAAGATCATCATGTTCATGCCTAAAGACAGGAAGACAGCTATCTCTTTGGGGGAAGTGCAAATTGGTTGGCACGTCTAGAACGTGAAGTGCAAATGAAGCATAATGGCGAAGAATGTGCACTTCAGAGGTTGACTTTACAGGCTACAGGAAGTCATTTTTTGTTTGTTTTTTTGCTTTGTGGCACTGGGGGTCAAATAAGGACTTTTTTTATGCTAGGCAACAGTTCTGTCCCTAAGCTACATCGCCAGCACCTGCAGAGAGATTTTACTGAAGAGTGACTCAGTATATTTTTTGGAGAAATCTGTACAAGTTGGAGGCAGGGAGTGTGGTTGGGGGGCTATCAGTGCAGTCCCAGCAGAAGAGGACAGGCAGATGACTAGAAAAGCAAATTGGTGGGAAGTAAGTAGTGGTGGCCTGTGGTTGGCCATGGCAGCCAGACTGTGACTAGACATGAAAGATCTTTTGAGGGTGATAGAAATAGGAATTTTTTTTTTAAATCAGTGAATTGTAAACTTACAGTTTTTTTATTTTTATTTATTTATTTATTTATTTATTTTGTGTGTGTGTGTGTGTGTGTGTGTGTGCTGGGAATCGAACTCAGGATCTTACACTTACCAGGCAGGCACTGTAACAGCTGAGCTATATCCCCAGCCTATTGAATTGTAAACTTAAACAGTGAATTTGAGGTATGTAAATTATACCTGAATAAAGCAGTTTAAAAGGAGAGGTAGATTTTCCATTGAAAGGACAGATGTAAGAAATAATAAAAGAGAACTTATTAGCTAGACATTGCTTGTATGAGATAGGAGGGTCAACAGTGTGTTCAGCCAGTGGTCCTAACTGTGCTTCCTTTTTGTAAAAAGGTAACATCCCTACCTTTTTTGTGGTAGATTTCAAAGCACGCAGATCTGCCCTTAACTGACTATGTAAAATATCTGTCTCTAGATCCTTATCAGAAGCCACATACTCTAGCTCACGACCACTGACTCTCCAGTAAATCAGAGGTGGGACAAAAACATACTTATGAAAGATTGCCTGAAGGATTTGTGGTCCATTTATTTCTTTAGACATTGTAATTCAGTAAATAGTTATTAAGTGCCAGGTGTTATGCTGGTAACAAAGCAGTGAATAAAGCAGATATAGTATCTGCTTTAAGGGAGTTTACAGTCTTGCAGTGGGAACAGATGTTATTTAGAGCTCTATTAACTACTGTGTTGAATTTCTGTGTGTATTGAGAGAACTTGACTTACAGAAATACGAAAGACAATACTGAGGTGAGGTATGGCTGTAAACACGGTCTTACATGCATCCAGCTGGTGCTGCTTTGTGGAGTAAGCCTTTGAATCTGATCCCTTTTGAGTTATCTTGAGCCGTACATCCTCATGTGCCACTTATGATTACGGTTAATGCACTGTGCTTTAGCTTTATTTTATCATTTTGGATTGGGTTACCTTATAAAAAACAGCCACACAACACTCAGCAAGAGGTGTAGAAGATACCAACTCAACATTAAGCAGCATCCCTTTTATTAGGACCTACACAGAAAGTTCTCTTGATGACTGTATAGTACTTGCTTTTATGCTTGGACTTCGAGTGGTTGTGGAGCACCAGGTTCCCCTTGCTTCAGTGCGCTGCAGGGGGCCTCTCGGTGTAGAATGTCTGTTCCAGCCCTATTGGGTTTGACCCTCACTCATTTGAGTCCAAATGTCAGCGTCTTCAGGGAAGCCTCTCTGTCCAGGACGCACTCCCCTTCCATTCTCAACACAGTTCCCAGTACAACCTTTCCTAGCACTATCTTCTTTTTTTTATCAGTTTTTAGTTAACTAATTTTTTCTCTGTAACTTTTCTCTCCTAGACTGATGGCAGCAAGATCCATGAGGGTAGAGGCCATGGTTTTTGTTTGCCTCTGTGTCTCAAAACCATAGTGTCTTTCACTTAGTAGTTGCCTGATGAATACTTCCTGAATGTTTGAATGAAAGCAGAAATGAACGCATAGTAGACAACTGAATCTTCACACTGCTCGTTTTCTCCTTTTTGCTTTGGCTGCTTGGGAGCTTGTGCAATCCTTGATTCTGCCTGCACTGTGGCATGCATTTTGTGCACTAACATTTTCCCCACTGTATAACTTTCTTTCTTTGACTTCTAAATTTTTTATTGCAGTATATACCATAAATTCCTGTAGGCCATTTTCAGTCTTTTTTTTTTGAGGAAACAGTAATAAACATTGGGGTATATTAGTAGAAGAAAGGCAGGCATGAAAGGGGAAATGTTAGTGCCTTTAACCAGATGCAGGGGGGAGGTTTTATTTTGCTTTATTTTAATTTTATTTTTTGTTGAAGTGGGAAAAAGAAGTAAATTTGTACCCTAATCTTGCAGGAAATGCCTCTGAAGAATTTGGGGGCTGTCCCTGACTTGAGACATTCTTCTCATTGGCAGGAGTTAAGGGGTGCCAGGCATGGCAGGGCCTCCTGGCCTAGTGAGTGGGTGGGCGTGGTCCTGTGGATGGGGGGCATGGAGCAATGGAGACATCTGCACAGAGCTCCATCTTGGCTGGTTCTTCCCTGGGCAGGGTTTGGGCAGAGCCAGTGGGAGCTTGGCATGTTACTGTAAAGAGAGAGAAATGAACTTGTCCTCTTGTGTTGCAGATTCAGTGGTTCTTTCCTTTGACTCCGCTGGACAGACACTAGGCTCAGGTACCATTCTTCCCCCTCTGTCACCTTTTCAGCTCTCAATACTCACCGTAATTATATTGGAGCCTGCAAGGGGGTATTAGGGGAGGGCAACAGGGGATCTCAGAATTGTGGAAGAGTCTTGGACACCCCTCTGGACTCACAGTAGAGGGAGCAGAAGAGGGATGCATCATCTGGGGTGCTTTTCCAGTTGCTTTAAAAGTGTGTGCCGAGGGGTCACAGCAGATGTGTCTTCCTCACGTGGAGGGGTCCAGGCTCATAGGAAAGGATACTGTTTTCTGTGCTCATGTTCTGTCTGCAAGAGTGAGACAGAGACCATTGAGAGACCACAGCTCTGGGCATGAGGCATGATAACCACCAGAGCCCTCCTGCAGAGTGCCAGGCTGTGAGAGCACCCCCATTTGCTAAAGACATACCCTCCTCTGTGTGTTTATATGCACCCTACCTGCTCAGATACCGATGTCCTCCAGGAGAGAAGTACTGCGCTTGACCGTGCACTCCTGCCAGGGTCACAGAGGCAGCATACTCCCTCGCTTCCCTGTGTTTACTGTGCAGGACACACAAAGTGGCACACTGCCCTTAGATGCACCCAGGTCAGGACTGCTAGGCTGTCATGGGTCCAAAGCAGTCCCCCTGCCACATGCCTCTATGCCTGCAGGCAGTGAACAAGAAGGGGTGCTGCTTTCATTCCTCACATGCTGTCCTTACAGTAGCCCCCAAACAATTCTGCATTTCTGTGTGTCAGTCCTGTGTTTTGAGGTGAAGATGATGGTGTCCTACCTGTGGACACAGGGAGACTGCTGGCGTGTGTCTGCTGTCTCCTCAAAAGTGATAGATGGGTGTTCATGAGGTTCAGGTGCTTGCAGTAGACTGGACAAAAATGTTCAGAGAACGTGAACACTATGCTGGGAACTTCATGTACCTCTCAGTTGTCCCTCATAATTCAAAGCTTTGATATGTTTTATTTTGGTATAAGAGACTTATGTTCAGTGACATGAAGTAACCCATTCAAAACCATTCATCTCCATGCAGCTTGAGAGCCACCTTCTCCCCAATCATCTTGCTGTCTTGAGGTCAGCCCACCAAAATACTGAAGCACAAGTCACTTCAAGATAGAGCAAATGAACAGGAAGAGTTCTTGAATAAACCCCAGCTGGACATGGTAACACACACCTGTAATCTCAGCACTTGGGAGGCTGAGGCAGGAGGATCACCATGAGTTCAAGGCCAGCGTGGCTACATAAGCAAGTTCAAAGCCAGCTTGTACTACATAGTGAGACCCTGTCTCAAAAACAAACAAACAAATCCCCAAATCACATGTATTCACTATAGCAAACATTGATCAGTTTTATGACATTAAAGTTAAGAACTTCTGTGAATCAAGACACTGTTAAGAGAGTGAAAAGGCAGTGCAGAGTGAGAAAAGATACTTGTAATTAATCACCCAAAGGCCTGTTTCTAGAACAAAGAACCACAAAAATCAGTAGGAAAAAGGAACAACTCAGCACAGAAATAAGCAAAAGACTTGAGTAGGCATTTCACCAAAGAGGAAATCCTCATGGCCAGTAAGCCTATGAAAAGGTATTCAATTGCGTTAGCACCCAGGGAACAGCAAATTATAATTACAGGGACCTATCACTACACATCTACCAAATAGCATATCTTGAAAAGCTTGATAGTTGTAGAATTTGTGGGGATATGGTATAGTGGAAACTCTCAAGTCTCTGCTGGTCCAGCCACTTTGGAACATACCCTGTGATCTGGCAGGTTTTCCTCCAGGTATGTATCCTGCAGAAGTGGATGCTTATCTGTACCAGAATATTTGTGCAAAGTACCTGTATAAGAATATTTTTAAGAGTGTTGTTCATAGTTGTCCAAAACCATCAACAGTCCACATACCTAACAACAGTAAAGTGAATATAAATATACAAACTGATCTATTCATGGGGAACAGTAAAAATGAGTAAACTGCTTAGATGCAACAACATAGGTTAATCTTAAATACATTTTTGGGTAAAAGAACTCAGAATATGTATTGTTTTTCTGTTTAAATGAAGTTTAAAAATAAGTGAAGTTAAACTATAATTGTTTAGATGCACAATTCAGTGTTAAAACAACAGAGATATTGGTAAAGGGGATGTGGTGATGGGAGGCCCATGGGATCTTCTAGAGTCCATGTGTTCCTTCTAGGGACCTGCGTGGGGTTTGAGAGGGTCCCTTGCATAGTAACTCGTTACACTGTACATTTAAACCTTTGTGTGCTCTTGTATTTATTTGTAATGGTGCATATTTTTTATACAGAAGGCATGACTTGAGTTGTCGGATGTGGGATAGGCTGTTCCCAGGCACTAAAGGGCCAGAAAGTCTCACACTAGGTTGAGTTTGTCTGGAAAAAGAGGGAGATGGCTAATGTCTGCAAAACATTTATCATATACCAGAGTTCTGACCACTTTTATGTGCATGAACTCATGTAAGTCTCACAGTAGCCCTTTGAGACAAATACTGTTGTTATCCCTATTTTTTTCAGCTAAGGAAACGGATGCACAAAGGAGTGAAATAATTTATCCAATGTCAAGGAGCAAGCAAATGGCAGAGCCAGCATTTGAGCTGAGGCGCTCTGGCTCCAGAGTTCCTATTCCTATCCAACCATGTCTTGCTTTCTCTGTTCTCATTAGTTTTCAAGGGGTTTTGGTCCTCAGCCTCCATCCCTCTTAGAAGTCTAAAAAAGATCTTAGGCTTAATATGCAAATTACTGTGGACCAGGGGATATGGTTCCCAGGCTTATACATGGTTCCCTGAGAAAGTTGGCAAAGAATGAAGACTCAGATATTTTTCAGCTTATTTTCTCTTAGTGGAAGATAAAGTCAAATTGATTCAAAGTTTAAATTAGCACTTTAAATTAGCATTCTGTTTTCTTGACTATAACGCCTAGATTCCATATCTAATCCTGCCTTTTTCATATTCTCATGGAACATTTGCCAGTAGTTTTTCTATTTCACACTTTACCTCAGTCTTAACAGGGAAGAGGTAGGGAGTGGCAACTTTACTAGTTTTTGTTTTTATTTTTGCAGTACTGGGGATTGAACACAGGGCCTTCCCTCTGAAATACATCCTCAGTCCCCCTCCCCTCCTTTCTAAAAATTCGAGAGAGGGTCTTGCTAAGCCGTGCAAGTTAGGCTTCAAGGTGTGATCCTCTTGCCTCGGCCCACCAGAGTGCTAGAATTACAGGTACTTGCCATCATCCATGGCCCTCTGCTCTTTTATTTGGAGAGAATTTGCATAGCACTTGGCATACTGTATCATCAAAAACATTTTAGAATTTTAGTAAGTTTTTTTTGTTTTTTTTTTAGACAGGGTCTCACTGTGTAGCCCAGGCTGGCTCCGAACTTGAGGTAATCCTCCTGCCTCAGCCTCCCAAGTGCTGGGATTACAGGGGTGCACCACCATGCAGTTTAGTAAAATAATTTGAGTTAATCCCTATTTTACTTTCTATCTGTTAGTATGGTTGATTAAAATTGGGAAAAAAGATTCCAGTTCCTGAAAAGATGGAGTGAATGTACTCACCCTTTCACTGAATGCAAGTAAAGCCAGGACAGGATGCACTTTGTAGCTTTGAGGTCTCTAAAACTTAAATAGTAACAGATAGGGAAGAACAGCAGAATTCCAGTATTACTAAACTAGTAGTGTATTTCCCACTTTTCCTCCAGTGTCCCATGTGTCCTCCTGTGTCCCATCTCAGCCAGTGCAAAACCCAACAGTGAACACTGTGGCACAGACAGCTCCAGAAAAATACCTCTAGTTAGGGCTCCTAAGGCTCAGATACACGTGGGAAGTCCCACGGGTTGTTTTTTCCCCTTTCTCTGTTCTCTGCATCCCCTGCCCTGAAGGAGTCCTGTGGTGATGGTGGTAGTGACCTGGCAGCAGTAGGACCTTTGGCACCTAAAGCTGAGGGAGAAGGGAGAGCTCTTTTCTCTGATCAGAGGAGCTGTGGTCCCAGGAGAGTGGGTGCGGTTTTGGTTGCCTTTTTCCTTTCTGCCTTCCTATCGCTGGGCCCTAGATTTGGGTACAGTTCAGAAAATCCATGGTAGAATGTGGTAGCTAAAGCCCCAGCTTTCTGTCCAGAAGACCAAGAAAGGGGGGCCCAAGGAACCAGAAAGCACAGGTGACAAAACAGAGAGAGAAGAATACTTAGGACAGCAAACCCAGACTTTGAGAACGGAACTGAGGGATAAACCCCTGTCCGAGCCCAGGCTGGACACTGGGTGGCGCACACAGAGGATGCATTTGAATAGGCTTTGAAAGTGGAGCTGACTTTGAAACCACAACCCACGGAAGGCTGGTTAGAACTTGCTGCCTTAACCCACCCTGCTCAATTGTCTGCTAAAACAAAAATAACATTCTACACTGGATTTAAACAAGACCTAGAGTTTCATAACACGATATTCAAAATATCCAGGATATGAGCCAAAATTAGTCATCTTTTGAAGAACCAGCAAAATATTGAGATGATGCAGATGTTGGAATAATCTGATGACAGAGACTTTAACTATTATAAAAGTACTCTCAAAAGTAAAGGCAGATACTGTTGAAGTTAGTGAAAAGGTAGAAAATCTTAGCAAAAATCATTTAGTCAATTAAAAAAAACAATACTGAACTTTTAAAGTAAAGCAAAGAGTGAAGACGGTACAACAGAAAGTTAGTTTGCTAGTGTTACAGTGTAGATCTAAGTGTCTTCCAAAGGCCATGTGTTAGGCTTGTTTACCTGGGCTTTCTTAGGAAGAAATTCAATCTTGAGGGATCTTATCTCACCAATGGATTAAGCCATTGATGGAGTCATAACTTCATGGCATTATTGGCAGCCAGTGGAAACTTAGGAGGTAGGAGCGAGTTGGAGAGTGTGGATTGTGGGGACATGCCGCTTGGGGACTGTATCTTGCCCCAGCCTCTCTGTCTCCCTTCCTTACCACCCTCTCTCACTCTCCTCCCCCTCTCCCTTCCCCTCT